ATGCCGAAAAATATGTTGTCTAATTTTGTGATATCTGATATTACTCCAATACGCGACGGAATTTGTTGACATTCTGGAAAAAATAATCGTTCGAACACGCATCATAGTTCACGATGTTTGTTTAAATAGTATTAAAATTAACGATTATAATCTTACCTTCGGACCATCTTGAATGATTTTCCGTTACACAATCAACACCATTCATAAGATTTTTTATTAACTCATTAATATTTTTACTATTAGGAAATTTTCCGGATATACCGGAAATCACAATTGCGTCGTCATCCAACTTATCTGAAACCATATTGATAGAAGGAAACTTTTAAGGAAAGAAAAATAAAATGATAGAGTAATGAATACAACTGATTCAATAAACGTCTATCATACATGTAAAAATATTACGTAAAAAGTCTTCTTTTTATACCTTCAATGCTATCGATTTATACGACTATGAATTCTTATTATTTGCAAGTATAATACTATTACTTTTTGAATATAGATCGTTAAAAAGTCATGACTAAATAATGATTAAGAACAAAGACGTATAAAAAATTATTTAAATCAACTTCTTTTTTTCGATCAAATGTTTTTCTTTTTACTTATATAAATGGAATAATATCAAATAAAAATTTTTAATTTATATAATTATTTTAAATGATTTCGACTCGTATAGAAAGAATTTTACTTTTATTAAAAAGAATAATAAATATTCATTATATACTTCCTTATTTTTACATTATATAAAATTCTTAGTCAAAAATTTGCTTTTATAATATCTATTGTTTTATTTTACATATAACTAAGTTACATAAATCTATAAATATTAATAAAATGCAAATAAAATACAAAATATGTCGTTACAAAACTCGATATGCGATGTTCGAAAATTCAATATTTGATGAATAACATTTAAAATTATAATATCTAACAAATTTCTAATTCTATTTTTATCCTAATATTTTAATGATATAGGAAAAATACTATGCGTGAGTGGTAATTTTATTTTTATCCTTTCTTTTCGTAATATTTAATTCTATAAGCAAAAAAAAAACTAATGAAAAAAAATTACATTATATTATGATATTATATTAATTATTATTGCGTTATAATATTGCATTATATTATCATATAATATGTTTACAACGTAACATATAATTAAGGTAGGTAAGATATCTAAAGTAAATTAAAATATAAATAATGTGATTTATTTGTATGAAAATTTTTAAAAACGCCCAATGATAGGCAACATAATTATTACTTTGTTTAACATCATCAAAACGTTTATAAATATCGTACTAAAGTTTGGAAATACATTTTTCAATATACATAGACGACGCACATAATTGTTATTATCGTTTATGATATTTATCACATTATGATTATTAAAATATAACGAATATATAATTATAATCGTAAATAACAATGATGATCGTAAATTCTTTCTTTTCTTTTAAAAACATTAACGTTTTTATATTAATGACATATTTTCCTTTTTAACAATATTCTTCATTGCAATTTTTTTAATAGTGTTCAAATTTTCGCAGAAAATCGATTAAAATGGCGCGTTTACATGATATATCTATTCGTTCATAATTAAATACAATGAGTTCAAGTGTAATACTTTTATAATGTCTGTGATAGAGATATACGATATAATATATATACTATATAAAATATTGTTCAATATTTATATCAAGTTAATGTAAAAAAAGGTTTTTATATTTAACATTATATCACGGTGATTTAAGGTTAATTAAGAAAGATATTTTTAATTGAACATTTTTCGATCTATTTTATTGTATACTAATTTCTATTTTATTATCTATCCAATAAGATGTATATACATTTAACTACGCAATTACATGATTTAACTAATCACAATGTGTCAGTTTTTGAATCATCGAAAATTATGAAATATTTTTAAATACAACTTTTCTTGAAATTCTTTGACATTCCGAAAACGGTATGTATACATTTTTATATTTAATAATATATGTATATTGTTTTACTTTTATCTTTGATCCTTTTTTTATGCCTATATCGTAATTATTAATATTTTTAACCTAAATTAATAATGATATATTAATCATGCTTTCCTCTTATTTTTAGATAACCTCTAACATTTGATCAGTTTTCTATATATTGATGTTAAATGAAATACTTTCTGTACTTTTACAAGAAAAGTAATGTTATAACAGAGAAATACTTAATAAAAAGTATTATGATGTATTTTCTAAAGTGCTATATCATTGAAAAAATTTAGAAACTAATACCTGTATCAAATAAAAATTGCATATAAATTATATATAAAAGAGAGTTAACTTGAGAATTAATTTGAGAGTAATTGTTCATAACTAAATATATGTTTGTAAAAAAATGGAGAAAGATAATCTGAAAATATTAGTATATCAAGAACAATCTAAGAGCACAGTAAATCAATGTTGGCCATGTCTTATAGAATTGTCTAATAAGAATTCAGTACAAATGAACAATTATACAAAGGGATCACTAAATTTTAAAAGTATCCTATATATACAAAATATATATAATTCTAGTAATAAACTTTTGCCAAATAAATTAATTAATCTAATAAAATTAGATTTATCTGACAATTATTTAAAAGATCTACCTGATTATTTGGACCTATTAAAAAATCTACAACATCTTATTCTCAATAATAATCAACTTTCATGTTTGCCAAGTGTAATTGGAAATCTAGAAAAATTAGTATCTTTAAAGGTACACAATAATAACATAAAAGAAATTCCAGAAAATATTGGAAATTTATCAAATCTTGAAGATTTGGATTTAAGTTCTAATAAATTAAGGGACATTCCAGGGACGTATAAAATGTTAAATAGATTAAAATATCTTTCTCTTGCTAATAACAATTTTATGTGTACTCCTGATTGCCTTAGAACAGGAATGTGCAATTTGGAAATGTTAGATTTATCACAAAATAATCATATTATGTTGAATGTTCCATTATGCAGTATTAAGATTAAAAGATTTTATGCTAAAGAAAATCATATCTGTCCATTATTTTTAAATTGGATATTTACTAACAAATATTATAAATTGGAAGAAGTATTATTAGATTATACAGTGTTTCAGAAATTTAATTTTCCAAGTGAAGAAATACCAATGTTAAATATTACAAAATTATCAATGATACAATGTCAATTGTCTGAACAACTTTTGAGTGAAATTATTAAAAGACTAAAGTGTCCTGAAAGTTTAAATATTGGTAATAATGAAATAACAAAGAAAGGAAATACATTTTGGGTTTTACCAATTAAAGATATACAAGATAAATCTAACCTGAAAGAAATAAATCTTCGTAAAACAAATATTCCAATGATACCTAAATGCATAAATGAGTTTCTGGCTTTGGTAACAATAGATGCTAGTTGTAATAACATTACCTGGTTACCTGATGAAATATGTGACTTGCATAATTTACAAAATTTGATAATAAATAATAACTTATTAGTTAGTTTGCCTGATTCTATTGGCCAATTAGTATCACTTAAAACATTAATAGCTAGTTATAATGCATTAACTTGTTTACCAAGTTCTATGATGCGTTTAAATAATTTACAGTTTCTAGACCTTTATGATAATAAATTTTTTACAGCAACAGATATTAATATTAATATGACTTGTTTACAAGGAATAGATCTTGAACAAAATTATTTTTCAACTAATGATTTACCGGTAAGATAATCACAAAATTTCTGCTATATAAAAAATTAATAAAAATACAAAACTATAAACTAATTAATTACCTATAAAACTTTATAAATCACAATTTTTTTTACATTGATATATTATATCATTAGATCACGAAGAGTTATGAAAATTTAAGAGCTGTATTATTAGAATATTGGAACAAAGAATTTAGAGAAGTTGGTTTAAAAAAGGAATCTGAATACAGTGATGACAATGAATCTTTACATTCATTTTACTCATATAAAATTAATGATGATGAGTGTGTATCACCTTTATTTTTTAATTAATAGTAATTAATGCTTATTATACAACTGAAGTCTGTGGTTAATCTCTAGATTACATGAAGTACAGAATTCTTCTGAATGGGTTGAGGAAAATTGGGATGATTCAGAAAATTCAGCGGATGAATTTGATCCAAATGGTAAGATATACAAATTGGGATATTTTCTAATATCTTTTTTCTGTCAATACTCTACCATACAAAATAAGTAATATAATGCATTATTTTCACAGAATATTGGAAACCGAAACTCCGACAATGTTCTCCAATCTTTGCTTATAAAAGACAAATTTTACAGTCACATTTTTGTCCTGCAGATTTACATGCTAAATCAATTTTAAAGCATTTTAGACAAATGTTAAATAACGATACTTTCTCTTCGAATATAGAATTTGAAACAGGTCAATTTGAAGATGTCTGATAACTAGAAATATAGTTAAAAATAAAATTAGTCTATGCCATTAAATAGTTAAAATAAATATTAATACATATTTTTTGATAAAATATTAAATATTTATATTTTGTTACTTTTTTTTACACTTATTTAAATATATGTATTACTTTATGTGCAAGCTGTGACAAATTAAATATGACAAATTCAAAGTGATCAATGAACGTGTGAATTTTATCAAAGTATAAGGAATAATAAAAATCATAAGACTTCATCACTATCATCGCTCGCGAGAAAAATTGATATTGAAGGATATTTGTTTACTTTGAAGCTCCCATTTCAAAAGCACTACTGTAAAAAAATCTAATAAAGTCAAAATAGTTTGTTTTCCAAAAGCTTTTCTTATTTTCAAAAAAAAAAAAATATATATATATATATACATATATTTACTTATCATGATATTTATTATATCAGTTTCAACAATGGTATATATGCCTATTCATTTAAAAAAAATAATAGTTCTTTTTTTTCGAAATTAATTCGATATTTTAAATCAGATGTCATATATAAAAATAACTTTCATTCAATAATCCAACATTTGTAATCTGTTGTCCATTTATCACAAAATGCTTCTTGTTTTTTGCTCTTGTTAAACTTTCAAACATCATACTTTGAAAATATCGTCATTTGTAATCGGCGATACATTTGCAACAATCGCAAATTGGATAACTTTTAAAATCATGGGCCATATTTAAACGAATTCTCTTTCTATCCAACTACAAAAGAGGGGGAGAGAGAGAGAGAGAGAGAGAGAGAGAAAAGAATATTTTTAAAAAATCTGATATAAGGAATGAACAAATATATGAACTATATAATTATGCAAAAAAAAAAACAAAATATATAAAATTTCATTTACTTTTCCTTCGTCCAAATCTTTCGTTCTTAATGATTTTCTTTTAGTTTTATGCTTTTTTCTTTTCTCCTTAACTTTCAAATTTTTCTTAACATATGGATCGGGATATTTCTTAACACATACGTCCCTTGGTTTTTCTTTCTTTCGTTTTTTCGAAAGTATTCGAGATTTTTCTTGATCATTTCTACGACTTCTATGATATTTTGAAGAACATTGCTCTAACGATCCGCTTTCAATATCCATATCTGAGCAATTGCACGTGCAACCACTCAATTTTCCTTTTTCTTCGAGATGGCTATTTTTTTAAAAAAAAAAAAAAAAAAAAAAAAGGTATACGAATGTCATATTCATTTTCGTTTACATATATGTTAATCATTGAAATTATTCAAATAATTACATCGGTTTTGCCCCCATCAGTTTTGTACGTTTCCACTTACGAGTTACGCAAAATAATATGATGCACGAAACGATGAAGAAAAAGATAAGAAGAAGGAAAAGATTAAGCCATTGCATAGATGTTGAACTTTCGGTAGTATCAGTTACTTGTTTATTTTCACTCACACCATTGGATGGTTTTTCTTGACTATAATATAAGATAAATGAATATGAAAATAAATAAATAATAAATATATAACAGTGAATAATATAATTTTAACAAACGTACGATGTCTTTTTTCCTTCAGTTGAAGACACAGTGTGCTGATTTTCATGAACCTGACTTGTGCAATTATTTTTCACTTTTTCATTTTTTTCCTTCCCCTTACCAACGAGTTCTTCTTCCATATTTTTATATAAATTTCGTTTCGAAATTGAATGCGATTGTCCCTTGGACAGGTCATCGTTGACGATAGGATCGAAAGATTTGACATTTTTACTTCTTGTTATATATTTCGCTAGATCAGGTCTTCCTAACATTCTCAAGGTCACATCCATCATCTCGCGATTAGAATTTTCTCCTCCTTTTTTATTTTTTTTTTTTTGTCAACACATACATACACACATTATTAACCCCTATCTATTATTATAACAGTTTTATGAATTGTTCGAGAGATGATTTTTTTAATTACATTTGGCCTATTTAATAAATGAAATAATCGACACATACGGTTACTGAAAGAAAAGACCTCAATGTTATATGAACTCTGTTTTACCGTATTAGCACCTAGATAATTATTGTTCCAATTTTCAAGTCTGATCAGACAATCCCGTTTTGTGATTCCATCGTTGTTGAAATATTCCCGTAGAATCCTCGTCGTCCGCATCTCAGGAATATATTTCATCGAAGCGCTCATTATGTTTATAAGTCGAAAACATTCCAAAGGATTTAATCTCAATGATAAATATTCGAATTCCTTTCGATCAAAACCGTCCTCGTCCACCATTGCATTGAGTGAGTCATATTTCTGATAAAATATTAAATATTATAATATTAAATATTATATATATATATATATATATATATATATATATATATATGTATATGTATATATATTTTACTTAACAATTTTTATTTAACAATTTTTTCATTTAATAATGTAAAAAACCATAACCTATGTTATATTATAAAAATCGATTCTAAAGAAGGATCGAGATGAAAAATTATTTAAAAGATATATATGTAGAAATTGAAAACCTTTATAAGTAACTTACTGTTATGAAAATAATGATTAAAACATAAATGTTACGTACAAATCGCATCGTAGAAAAATATTTAAAAAGTTCAAAATTTTTTTACCATCGGGCATTTCCGTTATTATTGCGAAAAAAAAAAATAAACATTCGATAAGATAATATCTTCACGCTTAATATGTAGACAATTTTATACGCATACACACGCGCAAACGTACACACACACATACACACATACACATGTTTTTTGAAAATACATTGTCAGAATGTATTTGTATTTAGTGCAGAAAGGTTAAGTAAATAAATTAGAAAAAATATTTTGAAAAAGAAATTCGTGCAATATTTATATTATTATTTAACAATTATTTTATCGAGCTTCACATACGTATATATTTATATAAATTTATTGAAAATAATATAATCTCTTATAAGAACTATCAATGATCTCTTTCTAGATCTTCGATGGAGAATAAGATCATCAAGATTTTTGTTCTCTATTCAAAATGAACGAATTAAAAAGGGACGCTGCATATAAAAATTTACAATCGAGATTAAATAATTTATTACAAATTAGTACCGAGACCATCTTGTCGTCAACGTTCGACGAAGAAATTCAAAATATTTTAACTCGGTGTGTAAAATTCTTACGATAATTTATTTATAAGAGAAAATTGTACGATGTAAAATTATGAAATCATATTTTGTGATATATTAGGTGGTTTATTTTAAATGCTACAAAATTGTTTTTTTTCTTTTTTTTTTTTTTCTTACTGGAATCATTAAATATAATAATTTGTATAATCTTTTTTTATTTTTAATTAATCGGAATGAAAAAGCAAATATCTTGCTTTTGAAAGAACACTTAATGATGTTATATTTTTTTCTTTTCTTTTTTTTTTTTTGGCAAGATAAAAATATATAAATAAAAACACAAGGATATATAGGAATATAACGAATATAATAAATACTTTCCATGGTCTATAATTATCTCAACATTATATTTTTATATTTAGAGATTATTACGACAAAAACATTACGATTATACAACGACTAAACAACAATAATAATAAAGATTTTAAAAGAGAGAACAGGATGGACTTAGATAAGTTTATTCCTTCTTTAAATAAAACGCAATTCAGAGAAGGTAAGGGTATTATAAAGGGTATTATAAAGGATGATAATATATTTTTTTTTTGTATGAAAATTCTTAATATTCGTTCATTTGAAATGTTTTCTTTAGAAATTTCTACCTATAAAATGCCACTCCAAATTGTCGGTATTATCGTCGTCATAACGATAATCTTAACTTGTTGTTGCACATTGCATTTAAGAAAGAAATTAATGGCTTTAGTAAATAAGGTGGTAGGAAAAAAGAAAAAAGATAGGTATTATAAAAATTATAAAAAAAAAACATTTTTTATTTGATCTAAATAATAGATATGTTAAAATTTATGGTATAAAAAAATCATAAAAATATATTCTCTAATAGATTATCGTCGTTGGATGTAGAAAAGGGTAAGAGAGAATCGAAGAGTGGCTTGATGGGTGTAAAAAAGATACAAAAAAAGGAAACCAAGCCAGTAACTCAGAATGTAACACAACCAGTGCCACAACCTGCTATGACAACAACATCTAGTATTCAAGCAGAACCATCGCCAACTGGATGTTGCAAATGTTTCAAAAAAAAAAGAAAGAAAACTCGAAAGAAGCACAAGAGATAATAAGAACTTAAAGTACATATAAATATATATATATATATATATATATATATATTTTATTTTTTTATTTATTTGAGCAATTTTTAAGAAAGAAAATTATTAAGCATCATTATCGATTATTATATAATTATTAGATAAATATTAAAAGTTAATCAAATTGATAAAGATATGATGAAACTAAGATGATAAGATATCGAGAAGGTTAATTAAAGCGATCTGTAATAAGTACAATATATCTATGTCTCCGTAAAAGGATAGACAATTTTTCAGCAATTTTTAAATACATAATTAAGTATTAATAATTAGAAATGAATTGAATATATTAATAAGATTTATTTATTTATCTTTTTGTTTGTTGATTTTTTAACACAAATTCTGAAAATTATTCGAAGTCACTTTTCTTTAATTACCTTTAATGTCTCTGTATATGTACAGAAAGAACTATTGATCTTAATTTGATTTCTGGTCACCTTATATAAACTTTTATGTTAAGGCAAAACTGAGTGGCATTGATTTATAAACGTGACAATCTTTAAAAAAAAAAAATTCATTTTCAATCAACATTTATTTTTTGTTTGTAACCTAAACCTATTTAATTGCAATCCATCAATGAAAAACTTAGAGTTTCATTTCACCGTATATTTGTTTGTATATTTTGCATTATTGTATGATACTTTTTCCACGATTGACATTAATTTGAGTCAATTGGAATATCTTGCTGCACGTTTAGATCCATTCGAATGTCGACGTCTTATTGCTGCCCTACATTACACGTCATATGAATTGCCGATGAATTTGGCGGCAGCAGGTAAATTTAAAAAAAAAGAGAAAAAATAATATTAATAATATACATGTATGAGAGCATAAAAGTGATCTTGAAACTGCTATAAATGAATTCTTTATATATATATATATATATATATATATATATATATATATATATATTCTTTTTTGCTATAACGATGTTTAGATTTCTTAAAAAAAAAAAAATGTCGAAGATTTTTTTATCAAATTTTATACAGATAAATAAAGAACAAAAATGTTTTTACTCTAGTAAGAAAATAATTTTATCAAAGAGGTTATGAAATATAAGAAGCTTATAATTATGTATGATTTAAAAAAGAAAATTTATATTTTTATAAATTAATATTAACATGCGTTTAGATTCTTTTTGTATTACATTAGAAATAAAAAAATAATTAAATAAAGCAAAGAAAAAAAAAGAAAAAAAAAAAAAAGAGATTATGTGGCAGAACGCACAGTAGAAGAGGATATTCCGTGCATAAGACAATTAGTTCATTGGAACAGTTCTCCAAATGAAGGTCTTGGTCAAAGCCATGAAGCCTTAGTTCATCGACTTCGTCAATTGAATCGCAATGACTTAGCTGATTGGCTTGGAAAATCTACGTTTAAACAACTTGGAATGGATATGGAAAGAATTATGAATCGATCATTTGATAAATTAAGCGAACAAGAAATTGAGACATAGTTAGTTAAATTGTACTTAAATATAGATTTTATTATTAGATTTATTATTATATTTTTTATTATTAGATTATATAGATTTTATTATAATTTAAATTAGACAATATTAATTCATTTCGAAGACTTATATTAATGATTCAAAAATTAATTTAAATTTGTACATTTCTTTTCTTTTTTTTTTTTTTTTTTAATTAAAATTTATCATGTAATTTAAATTTACAATGTATGTAAAGTATATTTAAACTTTCTAATGTGAAATCGGACAGATGGAGAGAGAGAGAAAGAGAGAGAGAAAGAGAGAGAGATTTGTTAATAATTTTATAATAACATTTAGTTTTGTTAACAGTTATCCATTAACAATTGATCCAATTGAGAATCCTGGAAACGATGATTTTTGGTCTCAATTAAATATCATCTTATTGGCAATAATGTTAGGTTTAATGGGAACTTTATTAACATTAATAGGATATATTATTTTTTATATAATCAAAGTGCGTTTACGTAGAACAAAATACAGGTAAAAATATAAGAGTCCGTTTTGTGAATTTTATTGAAACTATTTCTATTTAATATATTATTTAATAATTTATATATATATATATTTTTTTTTTTTATAGAAAAATGAAGCAAGAAATGGATACTGATAAAATGTCGGAAAAAGAAAAACAAAAAATTAACAAGACGAAACAGATGCTACATATTATTGATAATTCGTCTGATTAATTGAATTTCTTAAATATTTCTTCGATAAGAAATAAAATTGTGAATAGGATGTATATGTATGTGTGTACGTATATAGAATAGAAGCATGAAATTTCAATTCATATTATATATCGCTTCACTAGTGCTCTCTAGCGTATTAGTTTAGAACTCGATTCAAGCTTTTCATGTTACCCATTCCTTTCCGATACGAAAGGTAAATGAAAAGTATACAACTAAATAATTAGGTATGTATATTAAAAAAAAACAAAAAAAAACAAAAAAAAAAAAAAACAAGAATTGTATGCTTTATGATAGAAAAAAAAGTATTTTTAGGAAAAAATATTAAATAAAGATATTGACAAAGTTCAAAATTTGAGATGAGTTATATTATTTTCGTTTTTATATTGACTTTTTATTATAAAGGTTATAGTCAATAAGAAGAAAAAAATATTTAAATAATTCTATACAACAGTATTTTTATCAATTCATAAGTATACAATTTAATATTTATCGGTTTGTATATATATATATATATATATATATATATATATATATATATATATTTTTTTTTTTTTTTTTATGATATTTAATTATGTGTTTAAAAATAAGTATACGTATAATATGATTTGATATATCGATACTCGATGTATCGTGTATTAAAAGTCGACTAATCGACGAAGGAGAAGAATCGATATATAAAGTAAATCGATGTAATTAGCGGCCGTTTCTATATCAATTTTACACCGATGTGTTTGTTTTACCATCATATTTTGTGATGTATTCGTACAAATATAAACAGACGAATTAATTAACAAAAACAAATAGTTCGAAGGGTCGAAACGTAGGCCTAGTCAAGATAAATTTCCAATTTCATGATGCTCTATACTTATCTTAGCAGCTCTATGAATAACAATACTTTTGCGTAATATATGATACTGAGAAAACGTGCATTTTATTATTGGTTATATTAGTAATAATAACACAATGATTATTATAATAAATGTAAATTCTTTAAGTAGAAGTTGCTATTAAACGATTTAATTTTAGTGATATTATACGAAATATGTATATTGCGCACTATACCGACACATTAGATTCTGTAATAGGCTGAGTCTTAATTAAGGTAAGCAATAATGTCAACACTTTGATTAAACAACATCCTCTGCCACTGGGGTTAAATCAGAGTCAATCGCAGAAAAGGATATGTCATTGAGAAACTACAATATGTATATGTTCTAAATAAGGACTAAAAATAATACACAATGTAAAAAAAGATTTGGCAAACGACAGATAGCAAAGAAGTATCAATTGCAACAGTTCACTTAAAGTCATGAAGGCTTGCTTTGTAAAAACTTGAGAAAAATATATAATAATCTATGGTTTTGGATAATATGATTTGTTTTAAAGTTACGTTTCAATCATCTCTAAAAACAATATATATAATCAATTTTATTTCAACACTAATTTATAATATCATCTTAGACACAAGCTACAATGGCTGACAACACTGAAAGTGAACAGTATCCTCTTCATAAATGCATCTTTCAAGGGGATATAAAAACCTTAAGTTCATTGATTAGGACACATGATCTCAGCCAAAAAGATAAACAAGGTTAGTATCAATAATATAGTAAATAATCTATACTATTTGAATGTTTGTAGAATAACAGATAGTAATTTAAACATGAATGCTTGTGTTTGTAAATAAGCAAGTTTTAAGCAAAGGTATATTGTATCTTTTAGGAAATACACCTCTGCATTTAGCTGTGATGTTAGGAAGAAAAGGTAATATAATGAAATATTTATCATTAATATCCAATATAACAAATAGCTAAATATAAGATTTTTTTAAGTAGAATGCAAAGAATAAATGATGTTGCAGAATGTGTTCTGTTATTACTCGCCCATGGTGCACCTGTTAAGGTAAAAAATTTAGCTGGATGGAGTCCACTAGCCGAAGCGATTAGTTATGGTGACAGGCAAACTAGTTAGTTCTTACAAATTAAAATTTTACACAATATTATTAGCATCAAACTAAATAATAATATTTTTCTTATAGTATCATCTTTAGTAAGAAAATTAAAACAACAAGCAAGAGAACAAATGGAGGAAAGAAGGCCGAGTTTAATTGCTGCTTTACACCAAATGGGTGATTTTTATATGGAGTTAAAATGGGACTTTCAAAGTTGGGGTACAATGATGAAAAACATTTTTTATATATTATGTCGCTTGAATAATATAATATTTTCAAGGTTATTCAAGTTGTTATTCAATCTATCATAATAAATTAATTTTTTTTAGTGCCTCTACTATCAAGAGTATTACCATCGGATATATGTAGGATATATAAAAGTGGAGCGTCAATTAGAATGGATACTACTCTTGTAGACTTTAATGATATGAGATGGGAAAGAGGTGACATATCGTTTATTTTTAATGGAGATAAAAAGCCTGGCAAATCTTTGACTATCCTTGACAATAAGGCTAAACTTTATCAACGTTTGAGATATGAGGTATGTTTTTATTTTATTTTAATGAACTTTCATTATTTCAGAATCATAATAAAAATTATTTTTTTTTTAGGAAACAGAGGTTGAAATTGAAAATGAAGTTGATATCCTTATGTCTAGTGATATAATGGCAACGCAAATGTCGACCAAAGGTATAACATTTACTAGAGCCCAGACCGGATGGATTTTTAGAGAAGATAAAAGGGTATGATAAAAGATTAATGATGAATGATCACTTTAATTAAAAACATAGTGAAAGCATAGTTTTGATAAATGTCACATCTAACGTGAAACAAAATATTTCTTATAGGAAATGGTAGGACCTTTTACAGCAGACTTTTATCAAATTAACGGTATGGTATTAGAAAGTAGAAAGAGACGGGAACATTTGAGCGAAGAAGATTTGCAAAAGAATAAAGCTATAATGGAATCCCTTACAAAAGGAAATTCGCAAGGGTTTGCAAACGACGAAGTAAATAATTTTTATTTTATTCTTTTTTTAATAATATAGAATAAAATATATTTCTAATGTTCTAAAATTATTTTAGCCTCCTATGAGAAGAGCATCTTTAAATCCACCCCCAGAGTCGAATATTACATGGGAAGAATATAAACTTGCACCTTCAGGACAATGTCCTCTTTTAGGAAGAAATATGGTTTATAAAGAAAGTAGTAAGCCCTTCAAAGCAACTGTTGCTATGAGTCCAGATTTTCCATTAACAGTAGACATGCTACTCAATGTTTTGGAAGTTGTAGCACCATTTAAGCATTTTAACAAATTGAGACAATTTGTTCTAATGAAATTGCCTCCCGGTTTCCCTGTGAAGATCGATATACCTATTTTACCTACCGTTACGGCAAAAATAACTTTTCAAGAGTTTTCCTTTCGTGACGATGTTGATCCAGAATTATTTCAAGTACCGTCGGATTATTTCAAAGATCCCATGAGGTAAGTATCTATTATAAATAATTATAGTTAAGATATATAAAAGCGATGACGATATAAACCGTCTTTAAAGCAATGAATCGGACTGAGGCTTCGACCTAAAGCGATTTTATACTGAAGCGGATGTATCTAGGAGTAATATTACCAGAAATGGGTTTTCAATAATCTTCATTTCCAAAAGACATAAACGTGTACAAATCTTCGCACACAAGATCATCTATAAAAGAGTATTAAAATACAGATATAAGTTTGCCAACTGTTATCTATATGTCCAACTGTCATAATTGAACCTACATTTCTGTTTAAGAACATACAATTTTATTCTGTAGATTTATATGCTCGTCAAAAATAATTCTTAGAAAGAGAGATAGAGAAAAAGAGAGAAAGAGAAAAAGAGAGAGAGATTGAGAGAAAGAGAGAGAGAGAGAGAGAGAGAGAGAGAGAGAGAGAGAGAATTCAATTTATTAATTTATCTCAAAATGCAATATTCATTCATATTCATATATAATTTACAATTGCATAGATTTATTGCATTAGATTTTCATATATATAATTACTCATTCATTATTCATATATAAGTTACTTTGGCCAAAGTGCCGATCTTATGAACATAGTTAAAATAATACAGAAGACAATGATAGAATATGTAATATCACTGAAATCTTTTATCGTTTTGACTTAATATTTAAGAAATGATAAAATCCAATAGATGGTACTGGATCTATTTGAAGTTTAAGTAAAACTTAAGGCTTACTTATCTCTAAAGATTAATTTGTATTGGAATACAAATTTTGAATTAAATATTTTCATAAATTAATATCGAACATATTTACTCTCATCCTTTTTCTATATAATCGTTATAATAATTCGTCAGACCGTAACCTTAAGTATAACTTAAATTTTAAGTAGAATACACAGAAGCGTATGTGCCTAAACTTTGGTCAATAAACAAAAAAGAACCGTCCATCATATAGCGGCTAAATATATTTATTAAATTTATTCAAAAGATAACCGTAAAATATATATATATATATATTTATATATATACGTGTATATATATATATATATATATTTATATATATATACGTGTATATATATATATATATATATATATATATATATATTTATATATATATATATATTTCTATATATATATATAGATATATATATAGAAATACAGTTCGTTCATATCTTTCATTTTTCATTTTTTTTCCATTTTCGAAAGAAACATTTCGTACGAATTTTGTGGTTTCCAGGTTTGACGTAAGATAAATAAACTGAATTTTTCACAAGGTCCTTTTTGAAGATATCAAGAGTACCATTGATTTTTTGTTCAGTGGGACCATATGCTTTTTTATGCATTTTAAACAAATGCCGCAACCAGATGATATAACGTTTACTTTGAAGTCGGCCTTAAAAAAATTTTCCGAGCGAATAATACTTCGTACAATTACGCCTACAGAAAGAGAGAAAAAAAAAGAAAAAAAGAAAAAAAGAAAAAAAAAAAAGAAAAACAAAAAATAAGAAAATAAAAAAATAAAAAAAAAAAAACTACGGAAAAAGAGGAAACTTTTTCCATAACTTCTAACATTCCGAATTGTACAGTGATTTGGTTGTGATACATAGATTTATAACTTGTTTATCTAAGCTAAACTCCAAAACAAAAAAAGTGGACACGTTATTGTATTAATAAACTATATCGATCGGAGAATAAGAGATAATCGTTGGTGGAAATGATACGAAAAAAAAATGAAAAAAAAAAATAAAAAAGAAAAAAAAATAAAAAAAAAAAAAAAAGAAAAAAAAAAGAAAAAAAGGAAAAATAGCAAAAAAAAAATCGAAAAAATACTGAAAGAAAAAAAGACTAAATTAAAAAACGCCATGGGTGTTTCAAAAAATCAAAATGCCAATAATAATTATTTTTGGTATTTTGAGTATTGTGTACAGAGAAACGTCTCAATAGGAATTATGATATTGACGTGCACGTGGAGTGGCTTTGGAAATATCTACTATCATCAAATTCCTTTTTCTATAAATCCGAAAGGCACATGAATCGGACAAATGAATTCAAATGGAGTTATGACTCATACAGATGAGCTATTACAATACTCCCGAATTCTATCAGTCCTTTCAAATCAAATAATCGATTTCGTCTCGATTTCGTCGCATTTCGAGTCACGACCAAACTCATTCATAACTTTTGATATATCGATATGCAATCATTAAATGATAGACCGTCTGTACTGCGTGTATGTACCTCGATATGCAATAATTCTTAATTTAATATTACCTGGTAAAATGATCAATCAAATAAAATTTTTTTGGAACTGAAAACATATTAACTCGTTCTTTTCTATTCCACTATTTAACATGACGATTTTATTGAAAAACATTGTAACTTTTCTATCGCATGCGATTTAGATATGATAGAGAAAACGATAAAAAAAAAAAAGAAAGAAAAAAGAAACAAAAAAAAATATATTTACATATATATATATATAAAAGAAAAGATAAGAGTAGGAATTATTCGTATTAATTAACAATTTCCTATCTCTGGACATTTTTCAAAATGTAATAAACATATTTAAAGTCTATTTCTATTACAACGATTTCGGGATAGCATGGGTTCGACGTGAACGTTTATCTTCATAAAAAAAAAATTTACAAATAGAAATTGAAATAATAGTAATGTACTCACCTACAATATTTTAAACGTAGAAATACGAATTTGCATTTGTAGATACTCGAGATGAGATAGAAGCAATAAATTTCTTCGCGAACCGTTAGATCATCGTATGTTCCATTGGAATAGAGAAGCGATCTTCTCTGTTCGCCTAACTTCCTTTCTTTTTTCTTTTTTTTTTCTCTCTCTTTACGAGATTAATTTAGGGGATCTTAACGTTTAATGGAAGCCGTGCAGAAGCATATAATATCGGCTACGGAATATTTGCCATTACTGAAGAAACGAGTAAGGGATCGAAAAAGCGAGATAGTACATTTTCTGCAACCCTACTTCGACTACCCTCTTTCAACCCTCGAAGAAGAACACGAAACACGATACCATTGGTCGATTCTTAGTTTTATGCTTCCTCTACGAAATACTGCTTCTCCGGTAGAAGCCTTCCCAACAAGAATTTACTTCCTATTGGCCAACATGCCATTTCGCCTTCTCCTTCTGCGACTTAATAAGCTGTTTTACGAGATACCATTCAGCCTCTATCTTCCTTTCGATGTCTTCTACGTCCATGTTATACGATACATAACATTAGAAAAAAAATGTTTTTTTGCTTTTTTCTTTTTCTTCTTTTTTTTTTTTTCTATTTTTTTTTTTCTTTTTTTTTACTCTTGTTTGCATTTATCTAAAAAGGAAATATACATAGTATTAGATTGTAACGTACATAAATAAGTTCCATCGCTAATATAAATATATTATAATACTAAATGAATAATAATTGACCTTATTTGTGTTATGACCTTTTCAATAGAATATCTTTATTTTTTTTTTTTTTTTTTTTTTTTTTTTTTTTTCATATTTTATCAATCGCAATATCGTTGAGAAGATTAATTAGAAAGAAGTTATCGGTGCGTATTATTGAGTGAGAACTATGAATGAAATTTATTTTCATTCGTTATCTATCAATCGTATCATTGAGAAAATTAATTGGAAAGAAGTTATCGGTGAATATTATTGAATGAGAGCTATGAATGAAGTTCATTTTCATTCGTATTTATCAATCGTATCATTGAGAAGATTAATCAGGAAAAATTTATCGTTACGTATTACTGAATGAAAATTAATTTTTTTTTTTATCATGAATGAAAATTTATCAATTTTTGTCATCTACTCAATCATTGTTTTATTTTATTTTATTTTTTTGTCTTTTCTGGTATTTTTTTTTCTTTCTTTTTTTTTTTTCTTCGAACGAGTAAATTTATTCGACGTTCTAAATGTTAAAAAAAAATAACGGAGAATAGTAAGATCGACATAGAATATTTATTTAAATAAATTCGAACATTTTTGAATTAGTTTGTTAACTCTTCCTATTACATAATTTTTTGTTGATATTTAGAAGAAAAAAAAAATTATATAATGTATGTAAAGTTATGGTATAACTTATATTAAAAAAAAAAATTAGAAACTTTGGATTATTTAGTAAGAATTGAATTTGTGTTGGCCGATGAAACGGAACAGAAAACATAAAAGGTATTTTTATTTTACGTTAATTCAAATTCATCGAGAAAAAATATAAAAAGGTATTATAAAGAAATTATAAAGAAATATTTGTGAAGAAAAATTTTTATTACTGTGAAAATTAAATGATATTTTCTTCGAAAATTTGACTTTTTTTTTTAATTGTCGAAATATTATATAGGAGATGCATAGAGAAATGTGATCGTCTATTTCTTCTATTTTTTAAAAAGTTTTCTTTATACTCTTCAAATTCGTCATAAATTCAAACGTTCCTAATGGCTGGTTTTTTATCATCAATTCGAAAAAAGTATCTATGCGTCTGTAGATTTCGTCAATAAATGAGAAGTTTATCGGTGATTTTGTGGTTTTAGTATGGCAATGACAAGTCAGCAGTATTTAAATGTTCCTTCTTCAAGATTGTATACATACTATATTATAAAACATCGACACTTTGTCGAAGGGCTCCTTCGTGTTAACGTTTCACATTTAGGTTTTTTATATGCGTCCTTAAATCTAAAAAAGAAGAAAAGCATGACGTATAGTTTATGCTTATTTTAGCAACGATCTTTATAAATCATTGTCGTATTATATCGTGACGACGTGAAATTATATCCAATCTTACAAATATAATATCCAATTTTATTAGATTTTTATCTACTTTGTTAAAATAATTCGAGAAAGATATAAAAAAGAAAAAAAAAATACACGAATCCGAAGGTTTAACAAAATATTTACCAAGTATATATAATATAATCTTTTTATTTTATATATATATATATATATATATATATATATATATATAGGATTTTTTATATATATATGTATATATAGGCATTATTTTATATATATGTATATGCTTTTATTTTATATATATATATATTTTTTTTTTTCAATTGATTCAAAACCATTAAATCAAAGTGAAGCGCAAATTCTTACGTCATCATTAGCTATGTTATTATAGAAACAAAAAAAAAAAAAAGAAAAAATAAAAACAAAAACGATAGTACAATATTAAAGATCTTTATTATCTAATAATTGATATAACATTGAACAACATTGATATAACATTGAATGAAAAATCATAAGAAAATTAATTTTTTTGCAGTATTTCTAAACAATATTTTTTATTATCTTAGAATGTAATTCTTTCAAAAGTTAATCTTTCATGGAGTAATGTATATCTATATATATAAAAGAAAAAAAAAAAAAAAAAAAAAAGAAAAAAAAATATCTAACACAAATTATTAATTCTCTTCTCTATTTATTATTAATATTGTAAGAAGCATAAAGTTTTGTAAGAACAAATTTCAAAATCTTGAGAATAATAAAGGAAAAAAGAAGAAACAATAAAACTATACTTCGTTACTCATTTTTTTATCGCAAGAGCCATAGCCAAAGAATTTACGATAGTTATGGCGCGAAGAGAATGTATGGGATGAGACGTATCAACCCCATTACTCGCGTCCCTTTCTCTCCCTCGAATACTTTAACGAAACGAACATCGTCGAGCACTATAGGGTGTTGCTATGGATACGCGAAGCAACCATGTTGTTCGTGCGCATAGGGGATGTGACTTGGAAAGTGGATCGAATAATTCCAGGGAAGTTTAAGGGGAGAAAAGGGATGCTCCAAAATGGCGTTACTCTCCCATATTCCTCCGAGAAGTGGATTTTTAATATAAAATAAAATAAAAACAAAAAAAAAGGAGAAGAAAAAAAAAGGAAGAAGATAATCTTTGCAATTTAAACTATAATATTATTTAAAAGCAATATATTTTGTTTTCTTTTTTTTTCTTTTTTCTGGTGTACGAACGCACGACCGTAGTGTATTAAAGATTGAGTAACTATTGTGATCTTTATTTTCGAATATATAAAAATTATTTCTTTTGTTGATGAAGTTCTAGTTAACAGTGAAATTGTGCAAAGTGATTGTGCATCGTAATAAAATAATAATAATAATAATAATAATAATAATAATAATAATAATATACATATATAAAATATTTACGTATCTTTCCTGGTACGTTTATAAATCTTCAAATAATTCAAATATAAAATCACAATTACGTAAAATTCTCACATAAACGATTTTCACGCACTTATTTTTCATGATTTTTATTATTATTATTTTTTTTTTTTTGACCTCGAAAATATAATATTTTTGACGAAAAGTCGACAGAATTTAGAAGACTCGCGTCGGGTAGCACGACTTGCGTTGAACTGTTCGTTTCACCATCCAAAATCGGTACACGTGGAAGGGTTTTTTTTCTTTTTTCTCAAAGAAGTTAAAAAAGTAATAAAACTGGATCGGTTTTGACCAACTGGCTGAGCTCTTCGCACATAGGTAGACACACGTTTTTATTTAGAAGCTATCGGTCAGGTAACATCTCACAAAACATTTTTCGCGAAACATTTACGTCGGACGGATTTATACTTTTATTGCAGTTATATTTTACGTGCATTCAACGTTCCTACTACGTTTCGATCTATTCTAACGTGACGACGATGTAACGTGTCCGAACGTTGAACGAGAATTTCAGTTTTCTAAGCTTCATGATCAACGTAAAAAAGAAAGAAAAAAAAAAAAGAAAAAAAAGAAAAAAAAAAGAAAAATATTTCTATGTTCACTATAATTTTCTATAATATCAGACGTAAATATATATATATTTTTTTTATTTTATATATATATATATATATATGTATATATGTACATTTTCGTAAATAATATTTATCGCATTGTTTATTACAATTTTTATATATACATGTGCTTGTAGTAAAAAAAAAAAAAAAACAATGTTATATTACTTCATTCATTTCCTTATCTAATAATTATTTTTCATTTTTCTTTTTTCTCCTAGTCTTCGCACAAAACATTATCATTACGTTTGCGTTGCTATTAATTATTGATGTTTAATCTAAAAAAGAAAAAAGAAAAATAAAGCCATTTATAGTAACCTTTTTCATTCCTTCGACATCGTTCTCGCAGTTTATTATTATTTTTTTTTTTTTTTGTTAACGACTTTATTACAATTATGTTGATTAATAAATAAAAGTTCATAAATAAATCAAAAAAAGAGAAATAAAATTCTTACCTGTTTCCATAGACATTTCGGTGGTTGTTATTACATTCATATCGTGTTGCTCATTCGACGAATTAAAAATATATTGTAACCAATTAGATAAATATTGGTTTCCATTAGCTGCAGCTTCTTTAATATAACTCCAAAAGTTTCTTGGATCGATTCCATTCGTGTTATTAACTGTACGATTAAAGTTGAAATTTCTAACATTAATAAATAAGTTATAGAGTATTGCTTTTTTCTTTTCTTCTTTTAGAAATATTTCACATAATTTTCATAGTATGTAGAAAACGGAAAGAAAAATTGAAAGTTATACTAAACTACTCACTTGTCAAAGCAAACAGCATCGCTAAAAGTAGAATTGAAACGGTGCTGTGCGAATTCATGTTTACATAGTTTCTAGTAAATTTACCTGCATGATCGTTCTTTATATGCAAGAATTATCAAAAAAATTGCATAATGTACGTATGTATGTTGGTATCTGAAATGGCTTTACGATGTACTCATAAGTACTAATCGTTCTTGTTAGGTAAAATAAAGTTATTTGCGTTATTATCTGTTCTTATTGTACCGTCCTATTTAGATTTAAAAAATTACTGACTCTTGTGAAATTTGAATAATGATAATAAGAGTATTGCAAAGTGAATTAATAAAATCTATAATTTTTCTTTTATTTCATTCATTATTATTAAGAATGAAATGAAATTGTGTATTACTGTGTATTACTCTATTTGGTTTTACCACCATTTTTTTTTCTCCTAAGAATCTAAAAGTCTAAACATTCGAGCAATCAATTGGTACAAGGTTTTTTTTTTAAATATTTATTTTACATTTTTATTATTATCTTGTATGAATGTAGATATATGAAATGTAATATGTATAGGGTTTATTATATATACAAATATGAATATACGGTTATTATTGTTTTTATTTGAAGTAGAAACAAAGTTCTGCAAGGTGGTCGTGCCTAAAAACCACAAAAAAATGTAACTTGCAGGATATTCAACCAAGCTCGATATTTTCAGTTCATAAAACTTTACGACAAGAGTAATAACCTGCAGTATAGTACTCGGCAAAGTCTGCAGCTTTTTATGAGTTTCTACAACGTGTACTAGGTGAGATACAAAATATGATGCAATCCCTTTATTTCTTAAGCTGTCGATGTAAATAACGTAATTAAAAATAAAAATAGATAATTTGATAAACGAATTCTAATTGTTCTTTTGAACAATAGGATATGAATAATTATAAATGATTTTTTTTTTTGCATATTTCTGAAAATATTATAAATTAAATAACAAATAAATATTTCTATATGTGTATTGATTTTTGAACAAAAAAGGAATTAATCGATAAATTCAAATCTCGTAAACAAATTGTGTAATAATATTTTGTCATCTGTAATATCGACAGATATTTGTTGACTGTAGGTTTAGTAGAGTTCTATTTATTCGACCGTGGCTAGAGATAAAAATCATTAAAATAAAAATTCATCGATTTATTATACACAAATAATTGATAATTATATTTATTATCTCTCTCTTTCTCTCGTAAAATTAATTATATTTAATTAATTCCATGCGAAATTAAAATATTTGTAATTAAATGTATCGTTAGTAAAGAAGATAACTATTTTTTCATGAAAAACAGTCAAAGTAGAATTCTTCTTTATCGATTGTGTTTTTTATAGAGCAAAAGTAGTTCCAATCTGTAATACTCGGAAGACACATAACAGCAGCACTGTTCCCGAATCGATTCTTGCCTTATGTAGACGTGAATGCAGTTGGATCTCCTTCTTGTGTTAATAAATGCATGAAACACGATACGATCTAACATGATAGGCATATTAGAATTTTACACATGTGCACAGATTTTAGATTACGTTTCTATAAAAAAAAAAAATTGTGTTAAAAGAATAAGATTAGCGGGCTTATATTATGAAATATTTCTTTTATTTTTGAATACAAATTCGATGGATGCTGTTTAATGCTATTCAAACAAATATACATTTACAATGCTTATAATGAAAATAGATGTTGAAAAATTTCAACTTTTTCGTTTCTAAATTCTTTCTTCTAAGGCGAATAAAAAGATATGATATCTGTAAAAAATTTTTTTTCTCCATACTTCTCGAGGAAATCAATTAAAGTCTTAAACTTTCATTTGCTTTTTGCTTCTTGAGAGATTTCTAAAATCGAATTCTTCTAGGAAAGGGAAATAAAATTTAAAAGAGAGAGAGAGAGAGAGAAATAAAAGAGAGAAAAAATAAGGAAAAAGAAATCTGAAAGCAAGAAAAAGTATTTTGTAGAATCTTGAAGGTTTTTCTGAAGTCGTGAAGAAGTCAAGAAAGTCGGTGGTTTGTTCTTTGAAAGGTGTACCGCGTATGTTTGCTTATGCTTCCTGCTAATGAATCGAACAAACGTTCGGACGAGTTCGTTGCGACGGCCGTCGGATATCGTGACTAAATAAGACCTCTACATCTTTCCTTTCGTTCGAAGACACGATCGAAGATTAGTTCTTCGTAGGCAGGACGTGAAACTGCACTACGGCGCCACGTGCTCTTATACTTTACCGTGATATTTTTTAATTGTTTATAGAAATCGTCAGTCATTTCATTATTTTTTTCTTTTTCTTCTTCTTCTTTTGCTTATTCTTTTGCTTTTACTTTTATTATAGAGTTTTCATATAGAGCCTTTGAAATTGTTGATTGCCGTTATTGCCGTTGAGGATACGTCGAAATTATTAAATATCTGTTTTATTGATCGATTAATTAAAATTATTAAAGAAATATACAATTTGCAATATGCAATATGCCAAATGTGATTTAATGCGTCCTTCATAGATTTTCATTCGATAGAATATTATGCAGACAGTGGGCGTGCATATTTCAGTGCCAAGATCTTTATTATGTTTCTCTTATTTCAATCAACCTTCACTTTGTCCATTCGTATAGTATTGTATTCGTCTAAGCTGGAAAAAATTAATTTCAATAGATATTAATATTTTTTTCACGATTCGATTGTGTTAAGACATTATTTTACTCGTTTCCTCAATTGCCATATCCGATGGAACAAAATTCAAAGCTTTTAATTGCTATACTTGCACTTGTTATTTTTCTTTTTTACGTATCAGCATATACGAAATAATTAGAATTTTGTGTTTTAAAATGACACACACATATATATATATATATATATATATATATATATATATTTAACTAAACTCATATTAAAATTTATTCAATCGTATTTACAATTTATAAATTTTTTTTTTTATCTTAATCTTTAGTTAATATTATTTTATGCGTATATACATATACATATATATATATATACATATAATATATAAATGATAATCTCTTAAATATAAAATACATATATAACATATGTGCAGTTTGATTATGTATACAATATCTTAAATATACTATAAATATAATTTTATGCAAAAGAAGAGGAAAAGAAAAATAAAAAAGAAAAAAAGAGAAAAAAGAAAGAGAGAATGAATGAACTTTGAACGAGTGGATTCAACATATTTTTGTCCAAATATAGAAATAAATCTGATCATACGGTTAATATGTTAATTTTATGAAAAAGAAAAAGAAAAAAAAAACGAAAAAAAAATACACGAAAAGGACAGAATAAAAAATTAAATGGATCAAAATCTTTTGACTTTTATTCGGAGAATGGAATTCCTCGCGCGTGCGTTTGTGTACACGACTATTAAGTGCTTACATTTATGCCTGTCATAATTGGCTTTGTTAAATGAAGAGAGTGTCCGAGGAATTAGCTTGTGAGTAATAGCACGGCTATTTATTAACACGCGAAACGAGGTGCCACGAGCAAGACGAGAACGAAAACCATGTGCTTCGTGTTTTCTGTTCGAAGGGCTGCTATTTTTCCTTTGGATATGACGAGACTTTTCCAATAAACACTTTGTAACACTTGCTGCTATTTTTCTTTTGGATATGACGAGACATTTTTCAATAAACACATTGTGACACATGCTCGATGGTAAGTAACAATATGAACGTATTTCTTAGATAGATTATTTTACGAAAAGAAAAAGAAAAACAAAAAAAAAAAATAACCTACAAAAAAACTTTGACGATGAAAATAAATCGCAAAAATTAGTCTTTTCTGTCGATATTTCTTCACGTGAAGTGATAACATATTTAATTGGATTGATTAGATTTGGAAAAAGAAGAGAGAGAGAGAGATAGATAGAGAGAGAGAGAGAGAGAGACAGAGAACAAAAACGTAAGTTTCTGCATTCGTACAGTCGTCGTCGTTTATACGAAGACACGATTGTTTTCGTTATCTTTTCGACTTTAAAAAAAATTCATAGAAATCGGCATACGAAAATTCCAAGAACAATACGAAAGATTCATATTCTCCCTTACTTGTAATTTTTTCCCCCCTCATCCCTAGTTTCTCTTCTTTAGCTTTTACATTTTTCACTCTTGAGATTTTGTCACTTCCTATTTCAAAGAAAAAAAAAGAAAAAAAGAAAAAAAAAAAAAATAGAAAAACTGACCCGTTACCCTATATTTCCCCCGTCGTGACGTTTTCTCCATAGATTTCACCAAAAAGGGTTTTATGGTTTGGATATTTCGGAGGACTTCTAAGAAGACGTCGTCCTTTTTTTCTCCCCCCGTCTCCTTTCTTACAAAAGAAGAAATATTTTTCCAGGCCGTCGATTATTTTTCTATGTCATATATACATACACATACACACACACACGCGCGCGCGCACACACACACATATATATATATACATGTATGTAAGTATTGTATGTGCGTGTGAAGTTGCATTAGCTACTTAAACTTATGATAATTTCTTATCTCAAGCTTCTTTAAGTCTTTCCACATTTCGAAGAGTTAATAAAATAGATATATACATACTTACATAAGTGTCGTTTACATGTGGAGAACGTGCAGTTGACATTTTGCGTTTGTTTTATCCATGCCAATGTAATCTTCTCATTCATTCCTAACACAAGGATTCGTTGTACAACTATAATTTATATCTGTCATTTTGAAGAAATAAAAAGAAAAGGAAAAAATACGCGCACATATATATATATATATATATATATATATATATATATATATATATATACCTAATCCATTCGGCACGCAGGGGAGATGTCGAGGTTGAGCTGGCACCGAGACTGGTCGGACCTTTTGTAGAGCCGAAATATAAAGCTAATCTCTCCGCGGTATTCCATTCCCGCGAGCATGGAATGCAGGACTAAAATGGTGAACCACCGACCACCCGACGAAGTATTTCATCGCAGAGAAGGAAGACTAAGACGAAGACGAAGACGAAGACGAAGAAGAAGAAGAAGACGAAGAAGAAGAAGACGAAGAAGAAGAAGAAGAAGAAGAAGAAGAAGAAGAATAAGCAGAAGAAAGAGGAGGTGGAAGAGGAAGAGAAAGATTGGTAGTGAGAGAGGGAGAAAGAGAAAGAGAGAGAGAGAGAGAGAGAGAGAGAGATAGGACGGAGGTAGATTTACTATCAGAGGGATTTCATTCCTCCGGGGGTTTAGGCTTTCCAAGCAATCCCATTACCAGAGCCAAATGTGATTTAGGATCTTGGCCTTATAGCGTACACTGGCTTAACCATGCGGGGACTCCTTCGCATCTTGGGCACCATGGGCGTTTCATATCTCTCCTTGGGAGAGTCCTCCGAGTAGCCCTCCAACATTACCATGGCCGTTCAACTTAAGATCCTATCTCGATGGCGGAAAGAAAGAACGATCGAATGCAAATGTCCGATGTTCGACCGAAAGATGGCCGTGTAGATCGAGACTCCACACTATCCACAGGTTAACCACCAATCATCTTTTTTTCCTCTCATTTATCTTGATTCTTCATGTTTCTATTAGAAACTCGTTTGCTTTTTTTTTCTTCCTTTTTTCTTGAATTTTTTTTCTTTTTTTTTCCCCTCTTTTTCTTGCTTTTTTTTTCATTCTCTCTCTCTCTCTCTCTCTCTCGCGCGCGCGCACAACGGAATTTTTAGTAACAGGCAGATAATTTTTTTTTTTTTTTTATTTATATTGCGTCCAACAGTATGATCATGTTTCGTACAGACAGTATCTTTTTTTCCTTTCATCATCTTTTTTCTTTCTTTTCTTTTGGTTTTTTTTTTTATATAACGCATGACAGATAATTATATTAATGTTAACAAAAAAAAAAAAAAAAGAAAAAAGAAGAAAGGAAAAGACAATAATTCTTTTATTCAAGTTAATTAAAGGAAAGAGCGAAGGGTAATATTGATTTTTTTTTTTTTCTTTTTCCCGTTTTTCGCAAGTGATTATTATTATGGTGTACCTAAGTTATGAAAGAAAATAAAGAGAAGGAAAGAAAAATGTATGGCATAACATAAATGATCTTTGGATCATTTCTTCTTGATCTTTATGACGACGACTTAGGAAGGATACATGAAGGTAGAAGTCGAAGAAATGTTTCCGAACAATATAGATTGAAGAGAGTACAGGAACATGTTCGACCACTCGAAACGTTCCAATTGTCTTTTAGACTCTATACTTATCCTGTTTGTGGCCTTGAACAGCCGTCACCCGTGATTACGAGAGTCGTTCGAAGAACGTACGTGTTAGCGTGCTTCGTGTATTCCTCCGTGGTACCCACTATTATGTAGACGATAATGGTCTACGCATAAATATTCACGCTGGCGATACCCATAAATGCTACCGTCGGTGCGTGCAACTCTGCACACACTTATGATATCCTACAATGCTCACACATACACATACACATACACACACATATACATGTAAAAAGGTTTCTATCTTGACATAAAACAACGTATCACCGGATCCTCCGTATTTTAACAGCGAACGAGATCATCAATCACGATGATCGAAACGAGAAGCGAATTTTCATTAGCCAACTTACTCGACTAATTTATCGATTTTAATCAATATCTGATTTCACTTCCTTGCAAATCCTTTTTAAAAAAAATGTCTAATTCAAAATGAAAAAAAGAAAAAGATAATCTAATTAGATATTTAGTATGTTCGGATGAAACAAAAATTGAATATCTTTTGTTTAATTATTGGAATAGTTTTGATCGATATTAAATATCATCCATAGAAAAACATTTTCATTTATTTACGTATATGTAAATCATATGTACTTGATTAAAAAACATTATATTTATTTATTATTACACATCAATTATTATTATACGAAATAATAATTATAAATATCTTGATAATTAATATTATACTATTATACAAACAATATAATATATATTGATTTATATAGGTACGTGATTCTATTTCACGAGTAATAAATTAATGAACGAATAGATGAAAATTTATCGAGTATGTAATTTGTTGGAATTTCATAGAAGAAAAAAATAATAAATAAATAAATAAATAAATAAATAAATAAATAAATAAATAAATAAATAAAGCAAAATGAAAAAATTAAAAATAAAAAAGAAAACGTCTTGTGTTGATAATCAAATAGAAAAGTTGGATTGCGCGATTTAAGAAAGAGATAGAGAATAGAGAAAGAGATAGAGAAGTTTTGAGAGAGATTCGCCATCTTTTCACTTCCATTTTATCTCCCCGATTTGCCTTCGTCGATCGAGGAGTATCCCTGGAATGCTCGTCGGAGCGGTTCTTTCAAGGAGAGAAGCATCGTCGTTGGTTCGCCAACCAAAGGAAGAAAGAGAACGAGCGCTCAGGCTCCACTTACACAATTATCTGCACGCGGGATCTCCTTGGCAGCCAGTCGCTCATCGTTTTACTGCTCCCTGGTCTCACTCTCTCTCTCTCTCTCTCTCTCGAGTCTTTTTTATTTCTCTTTTTTTTTTCTTTTGGATTCATTTCCAAGCCGTTTCAGTTCGATTTTTTTTTTCATCTTCTTTTCCTTCTTTAGGCTCTGCATCCGTTCGTTCTTCCCCGTTCGTTACTCCTTCTTTTTTTTTCTTCTTCTTCTTCTTCTTCTCCTTCTTCTTCTTTTTCATCTTTTTTCTTCTTCCAAAGTGCTGAGTGAGGTAGCCCGTCACCTTGAAAGCAGCCTTAAAATTGCCTACCTAATCCTTATAGGGCGAATGGATACACGAGAGAGAAAGAGAGAGAAAGTGTATGCGAGAGAAAAAGAGAGAGAGAGAGAGAGAGAGAGAGAGACAGACAGACAGAAAGAGATGATCTTAAAACGCTGTCAGGTTTCTACGGTACGCTGGATTTACGTTGCTCTCAGCTTCTCCGAAGTACCCTCGTAATACTTGATATTGCCGTCTCGATAGTCCCGCATACGCAAAATCTCTGACGTCTATTTCGGCTGGGATGTGATCAAATGGGATAACGGTGGTCCTACAAAAATGGACCCTCTAACATTTCTTTTTTTCATTGGATAAATCTAACGTAGTCATATAGATCGTATTTATTAAAAAGTAAATATTAATTATTAATATACTTCAATTATTTCATATGATAGTTGTAATTGTTAAATTTTACGTATAGCTTAACGTCATTCTAAAATGTTATTTATTAAATGTAAAATAAGAGAGTATAAGAATAATGCATAATGTTTAAATCGAATTAATGATCGAATCAATGATCAACGATTGTCATGATTGTTATTAGATGTCATATATTAGAAAAGATTATTAAAAAATGAATGTAATTGAGATATCAAAGAAGATTCGATAATATAAACGTATAATAAGTATATGACATAGCTCGGATACATATCGACGGAGCTTCGAGTGTCGCATTTAAAAGGATTTACGACGTCAACAAAAATAATCGTTTAACGCGAAGAGTAGAAAGAGAGGTGCCGCGCTTGTTGGATCACCAAGCCGAATGGTCACGGAGACCATGTCTATTGCCCATCAAAGTGACCGGTAGAATGAACGCAACGTCGTCGTAAGGCCGACAACTTCTCATGATTCAAATAAATACTTGATCTGTATACTTATGAACTTTCTTCCCTTTCGACTTTATCTTTATTTGACAATTTATTTATATCGGAAATTTTCATTAACACGCATTATATTCGTGTCCTAATTGAAATCATTACTTCCTACAAACATCTTTCTACATACATTCCAATATACTCTTCATCATTTTGTCTTCGTTCGAAAATCGTAGCGTCCTTTTTTCTTTTTTCCTCGAAAATTAATTATCAAAGAAAAATAATTAATATTATCCAAAGGATTTTCCATTATAGCATTGGATTATATGAAATTATATATTTTTATTTTTTATCATTTTTAAACCAATAATTTCATTATCAAACAATGATTCCAACGTTAACGTATAAATTGCGTACATAATTTTATGGTGTAAATATTAAAACAAAACAAAAAAAAAAAAAAAAAAGAAACAAAAAAATTTAAAAGAATAGCGAATAAATGTAATATTGATCCGAACAATAAGGTGTATAAATTCTATTATTTATTTTACTTGTTTCGTTTTATTTTGTAGAATTACAGGAATAACACAGAATTAACATAGAATACAAGGAAGAATCTAAATATACCAAAATCTGCCGACATAAAACTGTCTTCACGTAGGGTACGATAGATGTGAATTTCCTTGGAATGCGAACGAGCCGTTACTACGGTCATTTCTAACTCTTGTCACCCTCTGTTAGAGATCGATAATGAAGGGGTACGATGCAAAGGGTCGGTAAATGAGGGTGAGGTGACATTTTAATGGAACAAATAATAGTTCTAACTTTTTCCTCTTGTTTTTATGTTTGTTTTAATCAACGTGAGATAATCTAAGATTTGAAAATATTTTTTTTTCCCTTTTTCAATAATAAAACAAAGATTCACAAGATGATTATTACTTACATACAAAATTATATATAATTAATATAGATAAGTGTGTAAGTGTGTATGTATATGTATGTATGTATGTATGTGTGTGTGTGTGTATGTGTACATATATATATATATATATATATATATATATATATTGTATATTTGTAGATATTGTATACTTGTAGATATTGTTTATGACTTCTATATACTTCAATAATTTCGTGTTTCACAAGAGGAAGTCACTTGCATTATCTTCCGAGCTAGCTTTGGATAACGAAAGCGTTTCCTCGTGATAACCGAATGTCAAGGCAGTACTTTATCGCACATGAAAATTTTATGCTTTCGTATTATCTTCGTCTCCTTGAAAACAAGACTTATCTCTTCGCGAAACGTACAGAGCATTATTTTTTAGTTTTTTTTTCCTTTTCTCTTTTCTTTTTTGTTTTTTTTTCTTATTTCTTTTTATTTTTATTTTTTATTTTCTTTTGCTCTTTTCAGCGAGTCCGATTCAACGGACAAAAATTACAACGAATAGGAATGGATCGTTCACACGTGTGTATGAGATAAAAATGATGGAGCAAAGAAGGGTCTAAATCGAAATCTAATAAGTGAAACGGTACATCGATCATAGTGTTGAAAACCGATCGACTTTAACGTACAACGATAAATATAATTCGTTGTAACTTTGTAGAGATTCAATGAAAAAAGAAAAAAAAGAAATAATTTACGAACGAACGAACACGTAAAGCAAACGTTAAGATATATATATATATATATATATATATATATATATATATATATATATATATATGGGAAAAAAGTTAAGAGTCACCAAGTATTAGCATCATACGTTTCTTTTGGTATAGAAAGCGTTTCTAATAAGGAAAATCCCACGAGACCACTTGTGTCATAGAGAGAACCCACTTTTCTCTTGAGCTCAATGGTATCCTATTTCTCCCTACTTATACCATCTCGTAACCGCCCCTACCTAAGAGGAAATCTTACACCCTTCGTTCGTATACCAACGACGTATATAACCATGTGTCTTTTCAAAATGGCGGTGATCCTATTCCTTACTCCCTTTTTAATAATTGAATCTAAAGATACGTAAAGATATTCGTATAGCGAGAAAAATTTATGCGAAAAGATGATAATTTTTTATCACAATTTATAACGTTTAAAGAATATATATATATATATATATATATATAATTTTTTTTTCTTTTTTCAATTTCTATATACGAACGAAATGGTTCATAGAAATAAATTATGTTTCCGTTAAATTCAAAGGAAGATGGCCGTGCGAATCACGTGTACACACGCGTACGACGAGTATAGGGCATTACTGTGTATCGAAAGTCAGATATCACGGTATACGTTCATGTCGTTGCTAATTGGATTCGG